GCATTCTTCTTTGTAGTTTCAACTGTTTTTGCGGAAAGTGGGCTTAGTTGGCCACCATAGCCACTCTGCTTCCTGTCATAGCCATGTTCCTCAGGCATACCAAGAACCCTTGCTCTTCTTGTCTCTGTAACCTTGAGGGGGGCTCATGCTTGCCACATTTTCTTGCACAATGTCCGGGGGTCTTAGGAATGTTCACCATGTTCAAGAGAGCAATATTGGCACAGAAAGCATTTTTCAGTTCCTTTTAAAAAAGTTGCAGATACAGGCTGGAGAGATGACTCAGCAGTTAAGAGCACTGGCTGTCCTTCCAGAGGACCTGGGTTCAATTCCCAGCACCCACATGGCAGCTCACACCTGTCTGTAACTCCAGTTCCAGGGTACCTGACACCCTCATGTAGGCAAAACACATGCACATGCACATTTTTTAAAAAAAAGTTTTTAAAAAGCTATTAATACATTAAACAAATATGTCCTTTGATTTCCAAGGTTTTTTTTCTTTTAGTTTCATGGTAATGATAGTCAGCTCTGAAAATGCAAATATACACAGTCATACCTTAGAATCCTCAGGGGATTGAGTCCTGCCATCCAGGTACCACAATGTATGCCTAGGCGCTTAGGTTTCTTCTATAAAATAACAGTGTTTGCATATGTATGTAACACACACACGCATACCATGTAAACAAATGTGGTTTTGTTTGTTTTTTGTTTTGTTTGTTTGGTTTTTGGTTTTTCAAGACAGGGTTTCTCTGTGTAGTCCTGGCTGTCTCTGTAGACCAGGCTGGCCTCAAACTCACAGAGATCTGCCTGCCTCTGCCTCTTGAATGCTGGGATTACAGGTGTGCATCACCACTGCCCAGCACAAATGCGTTTTTTTAAACTGAAATATTTTTGATATTTCAGTGTAAAGATGACATACATTCTGTAGCCGACATACTCTGAATTACGATCTCTTCTTGCTGGTCATGTCCAATAGGGCAGTTTCTTACTATCTTGCCAAACTTAACAACAGCAGCAGCAGGCCACGGCCGCCAGTCAGTCCCAAGGGTCACAAAGGGAACCTCTCATGTTCTACAGTGTACTGTGTTGCTGAGTTACGATGTTTAATAGGCTAGATGCCTTAAATACCTGCAATTTATGCTGGGCTTACTGAGACTTAAGCCCACTGTAGGTGGAAGAACATCTGTACTTAGAACCAGCCCTAGACTACTCACACTAGCAAGTACAGTATAGATGCTAAGCAAATAGTGGCTATATTATATGGCTTTCTATCACCACCACCCCCAACTCTGGTCTCTTTCCTTCTCTCGTTAGTTGGTTAAATCCATGAATGGGGAACCTTTGCATATGGAGAGCCCTGCGTACTACGATTGCAACAAATATTACTATCATGCAACTTCTTTATAATAAAGCACCATCAAGACGAACCTTGGTTTAGATCGTGACCAGCAGAACAAACGAATTTGGGTGAATGTCTGCAGTCTATTATAAAATATGACAATTGTCCTGAAATGGCTAATAAGAAGGACCAGCCAATAACAGAGCATGCAAATTAGATGTGTCTGTGATTAAAGTAAATCAGGATCACGCTAAAGGAAACAAATTTGGTTACTTATAATTAATGTGTTCTGTGGTTGAACTGAATGAGGACTTGGTTGGGCCTGTTGACAAGCCATGCAGAACTAGTATATTCTCTTGATGCAATGGGATGAAGTAATACCGACACATAATAAACTGAGCCCAAAGATGCAATTATCTACACTTGGGGGATCCTAAATCATTTTTCCTCTGGAACACTGGGACCAAATCTGATAACCTTCAATGGGACATTCCTCTGATATGGCTTGCTACAAAAGAGCCACCTGGTCTAGTATCTAATCACCCTATTTTCCTGCCACAGGGGTTTACACATGTTTGAGTATTAAGAGATTTCCAAGGACCAAGAAAACTATTATTGTCTCTTTTCTTTTGACCATGGAGTCTGAGTTTCTGCTCCATTGCCGTACAGATCTGGGGGAGATAGTCATTTCTTCTCCAGCGGAAAGAAACTGACAGCTATCTCTTAGGTAATTTCCTACACCCCCCACAAACAGTTCTGTAAGTCTATGATGAAAACTTCCCACAAATATACATGCAGAAGTGTGCCCATACACGTACACAGTCTCCCAGAGAGCACTTCTTCCAGTCCCTTCATTCCACACAGGTAACGGAGACGAGAGGGATTCTCAGTGGGTTAGCTAGGAAGCTTTGGCAGAGTTGGGACAAGACCTCACATCTTCCAACTTGCATTCCAAGACTTGTCTACTCTATCCCTCTGATAAGTCATTTCTTCAGATATGAGTAACAACAGTTACCTGCTCTAACAACCTTTCCAATTAACAAAAAATCTCAAGCTTAATGAACGCAAGTCATTCAAAGTTTTTCCCTCAGAGTCTCCAACATCTGGAACAGATGATGAGGTTCATCAAATTGATGACTTAGCCCCCAACATGCCTTGGTTGGTACATGCACTCCTACCTATACTCTGAGTAGGTTTCATCCTAATACTGTGGAAGGTTTGTTGTCTAGGCATAATGATAACCATATTAAAGTGATATGCATTCAAACAACAAAACTGGATAAATAGTCTCTTTCATAATCAACCTCACATGTTCAATAAGAAAACTAGAAATATACAATTTGCTATTATGCCGTAAATTCTCTGAAACTTATTTTAGAGTATTTAATGTCAACAGTTAAGCCCTTCAGACATAAACACATAAGGAAACAATGTGTTTGAAAGACTTAACCAAAGAATTTGGGTAGATAGGAAGAGCAAGTGTTGACGGGAAACACAAAATAAAGCCTGGCTAATCAGATAAGCATGCAAATGAAATCAAACCCCTCAGGACTGATTTGGATTCTTTCTATTGGATGCAATGGCTCAGGCTGGTGTGCTGGCTAAACACACTTCCCATTGTCCTTGGCCCTGATAGTAAAGTCTTGGAAAGAGATTCACATCTCTTCATCCTCACCTCAGGAAACTGGAAAACTCTCTGGATAGCCCTTGCTTCTTTGTTTTTGTTTTTGTTTTTGTTTGGGTTTTAGGTTTTTTGTTTCTTTGGTTTTTTTTTTTGTCCCAACCTAGAGTTATTTGGGAAGAGGAATCTCAATTGAGAAAATGCCCCAATTAGGTCATAGGTAGGCAAGTCTGTAGGGCATTTTCTTAGTGATTGGTGTGGGGGAGGCCCAGCCCACAGCAGGGACAGTGCTGCCTCCTCTGGGCAGGTGGCCATGGGTTCTGTAAGACAGCAAACTGAACAAGCCATGAGGAACAAGCCAGTAAACAGCAGCAGCGCTCTATGACCTCTGCTTCAGTTCCTGCCTCCAGGTTCCTGCCTTGAGTTCCTGCCCTGACTTCTCTAGATGATGGACTAATATTAATATTCAAGATAAAATAAACCCTTTTCTCCCCAAGTTACTTTAGGTCATGGTGTTTAATCACAGTAATAGAAATATTAACTAAGACAAGCCCATTGCTTTAGTTCATCAGAAATCTCCTCCAAGCATTAAACTTCACGGGAATAAGAGAAACAGCTGTTTCTGATCTCATTGATGGACAGGAATAATATATGCTACATAATAAGAGATACAAATGAGGATCAGAAAACTGGATTCAGATCTATACAGTGAACATAACTAGTCAAAAGGAAATATGATGCACTTGGAAGAGGGGGCTGTATGGTAACTGAGTCACAGAGGAAAACTTAAATTTGAACCAGAAACCTGACACAAAGGTGATGTATGGTCTACCCATAACAGCAGAACCTATTCTAGGGTTTACACATTACAGGTTCAAGATAAACATTGCCAAGCACTCATTTCAGTACAGACGACAGACTGAAAACTGGGGATATAAATCTCTCCGCCTCACAAAGATGTAGAAGATGCTATTCAAGAGCAGAGCACATCAAACTATCAGAGGATGGACATAACAACAACCTGTCCCTGTGAGGAACCAGTGAGCTGTCCAAAGCCTGGCATGTAGGCAGGAGGAGCTCCTGGAGGAGAGCCATGTGAGGGATTTGTGCCACTCTGGGTCTGTTGCAAGCTGTGGCAAAGGTACTTAACTTGGAATTTCAATTTCTTATAAAAGAGAATTATTTTGTTCACTTTGCAGGGATGTTATAAGAAATTTGTAAGAAAGCACCCAGCATAGTTCTTTCTCAGTGTTTTGTTTTTCTCTAAAGACAACCCAAGTCCTTGCCATTACAATGCAAGAAAATAGGGTGAATCTCTTAAGGTTTTCTTACTTGGTTTTCATTTGAATCAAAGAGGTGCCGTGACAAAGGACCTGATCAAAATTATTTACTGTAAAATCCGACCTTACAGTTACAGTGGGCCTAACACTGCTCACTAAAATGTACAAATGTAAGTGTAAAATGTTTAGAAGCATGTCTTTTGTAGTTTCTTGTGGCAAAATTTTCCATGTGCTCATTTTCAGAAAGGGTATTTCCATCAGCTAAAAATTCCTGCTCACGTGATAATTTAGCTCAAGGTCGTTATTAGTGCCAATGACCAAACCTGAAAAATATGGCCCTCACATCAGAGACCTGAATAAAGAGCTCTAATGGGATTAGAATGCATTGCAAGAATTACAACATGAACAGCTCAAGAAATCTTAATTTATAAAAGGTCACAGAGTTACAAAAAAAATCTCTCACTTCAACTAATTAAATGAAATTTTAGTTAAACGGCACCTTACATATTGGCGCGGCAGCTGCAGGTGCATTGGAACAGCATCTACACAGGTGCAATTAGCACAATTAAACATGGGTAGGGGTGGGAACACCATTCTTAATTATATTGATATAATCAGTTTTATTAATGCTTTATGGCAACAAAAGTGACATCTGACAGTAGCGCGCAATTCACAACGGAACCTAACGGGAAACATTTTCGCATCTGAAGGAATCAAGCGCCAGGCAGCTGGGAGGGAAGACAGAGCAACAGGGAGTTCCTACCTGTGACGATGCCGTAGTTGGGAGGTTCTAGAATCACTCCATAAAACTGGATGATGTTCCTGTGGCTGAGGACGCTCAGTATTTCAGCCTGTACGAAAATCAAATGTCACATGTGTGAGTCTTAGTACATCGGCTTCACGTTCACTTTTCTTTCCCCTCCGTTTACACAGACATCCGAGGGCTCGACAGGATGTGACGTCGACAAAACCGGCTTCAGAAGCACGCTCAGCCATCTAACCCTCCCTAAAAAGACGGAAATGGCAACAAGGGCCACGACTAGGAGCGGCCCACGTGGCAACGGTGCGCTGAAGAGGTAGACAGCGCGTTCACTTCCAGGAAAAGCCTTTTCCTAGCAGCCAACTACATGTTTCTGTATACTCTCTCCTTGGGGCGGGGGTGTAGCAAGCCTGGGCTTTTATCAATTGAGTGAATCAAAATTAAGTTAGAGGTATTCTAGCACTAAGGCAGTGGCTCTCAAACTTCCTAATGCTGTGACCCTTTAACACAGTTCCTCATGTTGTCATGACCCTCAATCATAAAATTATTCCATTGCTACTTCATAACTGTCATTTTGCTACTGTTATGAATTGTAATGCAAACATCTGATATGCAGGATATCTGATCTAAAACTCCCCAGAGGGGTCATGACCCCCAGGTTGAGAACCACTTCACTAATGGCATAGATTCACTTAATTCTGTTATTTATATTATACCCATTTAGAGTGATTTTTCAATAAGTAATGAGAGATATATTATCGCCATCTTTCCGTGTCAACGCAGAAAGGCAGATCCCTGAGGTTTGCTGGAGAGCTAATAGGAGGCCATATTGGTGCGGTTTCTTAGTACTAGGAAACTTTCCAAGAATGACATGGCAAAATAACTTACATTTATTAAACTTAACTTTTAAGTTTAAAAAAATGTCATAGTGCATATTTGCTAATATCTAAATGAAGATATTGTATGTGCCGAATAGTTTTACGTCAACTTGACACAAGCTAGAGTTACTGGAAAGGAAGGAACCTAAACTGAGAAAATACCTCCATGAGAGCCAGTTGTGGGGCATTTTCTTAATTAGTGATTGATGGGGAGGGCCCAGCTCATTGTGGGTGGGGCCACTCCTGGGCTGGTGGTCCTGGGTTCTGTAAGAAAGCAGGCTGAGCAAGCCACAGAGACAAGCCAGTAAGCAGCACCCCTCCATGACCTCTACTTCAGCTCCTGCCTCCAGGATCCTGTCCTGCTTGAGTTCCTGCCCTGACTTCCCTCAGCGACGGACTGTTACCTGGAAGTTTAAGATGAAATAAACCCTTCCCTCCCAAGTTGCTTTCGTCATGGCACTTTATCACAGCAATAGTAACCCTAACCAGGACAGAAATTGATACAAGGATTGTGGGGTATTGCTGTGACAGACATGACCATGTTGTTGGTGAGCGGTGATTGTGGGGACTTTGGAAGGACTTTGCAACTTTGGATAAGAGAAGCCAGTAAGTGTTCAATGCTTTTCGAGCTGTTCTGTGGGAGTTTGGAAAAGGTGAGTGTTAGCGGCAATGAGGACGATGAGGGCCTGGCTTATGAAGCTTCAGAGAGAAGTTTAAAGACTCCATTGGCACCATCTGTTAGTTTGAATTTGGATTCTGTGATTCTGGTAGCTGGGGCTGAGGAGTTGGTTGTGGCTAACAAGATGCCAGAACTCATTAGGACAGTGTGTACATAAATCACATACATTAAGTCTTATTACTTTATGGAGATAAACTATGGCTAATCAAGAAATTTAAAATGTAAGGACACGTAAGTTAAATATAGAAAAGGTTTAACATTTAAAGTATATAGCATATTACTGGCAACCAGAAAACGGATTTTTAATTCTCCAGCCCAGAAAGGGGATACCTAGAAGAAAGACAGAAAGGGCTCCACAAGGGAATCTGCAAACTATGAATTAGTGAGTTGCTACACATTTATTCCCATAAAGTAAGAGTTGCGATTTCATTAAAAACACACTCTGTGAGCCGGGCGGTGGTGGCGCATGCCTTTAATCCCAGCACTCGGGAGGCAGAGCCAGGTGGATCTCTGTGAGTTCGAGGCCAGCCTGGGCTACCAAGTGAGTCCCAGGAAAGGCGCAAAGCTACACAGAGAAACCCTGTCTCGAAAAACCAAAAAAAAAAAAAAAAAAAAAAAACACACTCTGTGACTAGTAACAAGGTAGAAAATAGAGGTTTGGGGATTGGCCCAGAGTTAATACCGGCAAGAACAAAATATTGGACGGTTTCGTGTTTGCTTCAGTAACCAATCTCTTCTTTGACCTGAGCTAGCAGGAAGGGTACCTTGGGCTAGATTTCAAAAGAACGACCGTCTAACCATGCAAGGTTGGGTCTGAAGCTTGTGTTCTACAGCTCACTGTTGACTTCAACTTTGGGAGATAGGATTTGATGGCGGTACTTCAGTTCTGTCGCTGTCCAAGACCAACAAGCACCTTTGCTGAAAGTCCTTGCTTGCCTTTGACTCTTTGAGCATGCCCTGTGTCTGCAGCAAACCTTTCAGGTATTGCACTGGAAACCTAACTACTCAGTGCCTGTGACGTCACGGTCATGGGAGGAGAATCTTCAAACACCAATTTACTACACCAACAATCCCTAACAACAACCTATAAACATTTGTCCTTATACCCACAGATGAGTGTGGTCTGCGCCACTCACTAGGGAGACCTCTCTTTGCAAGAGATGAAAACCACAACTAATCAAAATGCAGAGTTGGGAAACACAGTCCCAATGGAAAAATCTTCAAAACACTCCCAAACCTAAGGCTCTGGGAATATTGCATAAGAAGAAACAGAAAGATTGTAGGACCAGAGGTTCAGGGAGTTTGCTGGCAGATAACATCAGGAACTACACTCATCAAGGCTCACCAACATGACTGCCTAAACTTGATCTGAACAGGAACAACCATACACATGCCAAAGTGGATGAGGAAATGACTCCAAGGCTCGATTCTACACAGAGAACACAGGCAACTAAGGAAACCCAGGAACTGGAGAGACAGCCTCCTCAGGGAAGGGCAAACTAATTGGTTGTCCAGTGCCAAATGGTCAGCTCCTAAAACATACATATAACATTACATGGACTGAATGGGTTATATTTAGGAATATATATATATATATATATATATATATATATATAGTATATTATATACAACACACACATATTATATCATGCATAACAACTAGTGAAAAAATAGGCCATGAATTTGAAAGAGCGCTGAGAGATGTATATGGGAAGGTTTGGAGGGAGAAAGGGAAGGGAGAAGCTCACTCAGCCTTAAACCTTCTCTCCTGTCATCTACCTCCAGAAACAGTTCTGCAGGTGAGCCACATGCTCTGTTTCTTTATGTTGCTGCAGCAAGAGCTCCTCTGCAATGCACTGAGCTGGAACCCCTACGCTCAGCAGTGGGGCCTCTTCATGTAGGCTGCTCTTCCTACACTTGGCGGGCAGCATGCAGGCACACAGCAGATGCACCAGCCCTTCGTCAGAGGGAAGCTTGTAAAAGAGAAAACCCTGGTTGCTCAGTACAGCGCACTACTCATCTTCACGACCACAGAGGCCACAACTGTTGGCCTTCGCAGGAGAGAGGAACAGCAACGAGCCGCAGACCTTCAAGCTCATACGGCAGTTCTCAGAGAGCTGGGAGGCCGGACTGCCTACTTCCTTCAGGCCAGCGGTAGACCTTCCCTTCTTCTCCGCTAATTGAGTAACACTCTGATCACCCAGACAAACGAAGGGCAGTTCTCACTCTCAGGTATAAGGTTTGCATGCATCAAGTTTCCAAGGGCTCAGATGGACCCAAACCAGAAACATGCTGTCTGATTCACTGCGTTCATGGCTTGAGACAGTTTCCTAAAATAAAGCCCCTTCTTAAAAAAGTGGTTCATACATGACGGTAAAATGGAAAACTAGCCCCTTGATTCTGGAAACGCTGTTACAAGAACAACTTACAAAGCAGGATGGGGGTTTAATCACCAGAGTGTCAGGCGCAGGTCACGCTTTTTGCGTCCCATTGGGTTTAATGAGACCCATTCACAAGCAGTCACATGACAAGCAGTGAGCTCTACGGCTGTATAGATTCTCTTTCCAGTGAGGCTCTCCAGGTACTCAGGGAATAAGAACGGCTAAACGAATGGAATCCAGGCTCCATAATAGAAGCCTATATCCCTAAAGAGATTTGATGTCATAAAGATTTTTTTTTTTTTTTTTTTAGGAAACTGGTAACAGATGCTCAGAAAAAATTAATCATTCTCACGTTTCTTGAAAGCTGACACGAAGTCACACGAGTCTTTCATCAGCCACATCAGCAGGACTGGGAAGTCTCTGGTTGCTCAATCGTTTTCCTGGGTGGGATGCTGCAGCTGACTCAGTATCTGGAGATGGGTCTTGGCCCTCCAGGTTAGTACATGCCTAACTAAGTTAACTCAGGTTAGACTAGCCTGGCTGGACAGGAGGGTGGCAAGAACTTAATGAAAGAGAGTTCAGGCCCAACACTCAAAGAATGTCTCAAATCACACGCTGGCTAAGACCGTTATATTCCTTGTGCCTGCAACTGGGTGCAGTTGTGGTTAACATGAAAAAATAAAATATTAAAACAACCTGTGTTCAAATTTGGGTGACCAAACCACATGCACAGATCTGGCTTTTGATCACAATGTTCTTACCTTGTCTAAGAGTTGTCCACATTGTGCTAAACTATTAAAAAAAATTTTTTGCCGGGCGGTGGTGGCGAACGCCTTTAATCCCAGCACTCGGGAGGCAGAGGCAGGCGGATCTCTGTGAGTTCGAGGCCAGCCTGGTCTACAGAGCAAGATCCAGGAAAGGCGCAAAGCTACACAGAGAAACCCTGTCTCGAAAAACCAAAAAAAAATTTTTTTTCCCCAAAGAAAGCCTTGGGTCGCTTTCTTTCTAGAAAATGACTTGAATGGCCACATGCCCTGATTTCTTTAGTTTTAATGTCTACTAATTTCTAATGATAATTAGTGTGTTACTAGTACCATTTTTCATGGAGAAGGTATTAATAACTACCCAATGAACTGGACATGGTTTATTAGGA